CCCTTCCAACCCAAACCATTCTATAATTCTACGACTTAAATAATTCTCATATTGTTTGGACAGAAGCCATAACCTATAAAAACACATTTGAAATTGTTGCTTTATTCTATATGCAGTGAGTCTCACCCCTAAACATACACACTGACTGGATACCATCTCTCAAAGAGGACAACTTATTGGTGAAACCACTTATCTCAAAGGAGAAAAAAAAATAAAAGAACAAAACCAACCAAACTCTTCAAGTGCCTGCCTTTAACCCCTGTTTCTCCTTAGAAGTCAACTGCAATATTCCTCTGATATAAAATCACAAGGAAAACAACTTTAACAGCTGTTCACATGACCAGGTCTTGGGTTCATTACGAAGAACCGAATTACTCTCTCAGACAAGATACAGCTCACTGAAAGCCTTAATATTGTCTGGGTTTTTAAGTGCAAATGGAAAGAGAAATCCCTGTTGAACCTGAATTCTACTCTGAAGTGTGAACATCCTAATTATAATATATTATTTCCTGTAATATAAAGCTAAAATTCTTCTAGAATATTATTATTACCATAATGAAAACTGCCATTAGCCAAGTCCCTTCTCCCTCTAGCACTCATTATCACCCAAGGAAGGAAAGTAGGAGATGATCTTCATTTGGAGCAAGTAGCCTTCCATAAAAATCAAGATTAAATTTCATGCCTCTCATATATATCCAAAGTTTTTTTTCCAACTTGGCTGAAAATATCTGCAAGTCTGATAAACTGAAAGTAAGTTACTCGCAGTAGAAGAGCTCGGTGCTTGGAGCACCGTAGGTTTAGGTGTGGACAGGCAAAGGGACGCGCAAGGGAAGGGGTGAGGACTCGGCTTGTCACCAAAATAACGAACCTGCAGTTTGCCTGCAAAGGGGACATTCCATACAGCTGGAGTGTCTAACTGGAACTCATGCAACTGGTGAGTGTGGAACTTGGTTTGAAAGGTAGTAACTAAAAATACCCTCAAGTCTCATGGGTTCATAAAGGAGGGACTCTATCATCATGACAACACCTAGGATCACACTACCCTCAAGGTATATGATGCAGTTGGGGGAAAAAAGTCTAAAGTTAAAGCTGTAAAAGTCAAAAATAAGACTGGAAAAGTCAGTATGACACATGCAACACCCCGTTATGTCCGTTATTGCATCCTGGAAATCCATCAGGAAATAAACACCACCCATGCTTTGCTTTTGGGATCTATGAAGTAGGTGACATGCAACTTGGCACTGAACGCAAGAGCGATTAAGAAACCCAAACTGCAACTTGAATTAAAAAAAACCCAAAATGTAAAGAGAAACAGATTTTGAAAAAGATATTCTGCAAGAAGCGAAGGCGGTCTGGTTGCTGCAAAAGGAAAACGCAAGACAACACTCAATTAGTAATTACAGGGTAAAGAAAAGCTATTAGATAGGGCACGGATTCAAACCACGGCTTGTTAACAGGTGACAGACAAACAAACAGAAGTTTAATGATAGAAAGACAAGAACGTGCTTTTAGCAGACACACAGTACCTCTTAACAACAAAAAAATCCATTACATTGTCCATAAAAAACCTGTAACGCTAGAATTGAACACGACATTGTTTTTACAGACAGAGTCCAAGCACAGGAGGTTGAGTGAAGGCCACAGAAGAGCCGGTGGCCCAGCAAAAAAGGCAACGTAAGGGTTTTGCCACCCAGACCTACGGCCTCAGCGTTACAGCCAGACCTATCGAGCAGAGAAAAGTCTTTCTGAAAACACCACACACATTTTGGGGCTATTTCTCAGGGATGTTCATCAACTTCATTATCACAAAAGCTGTCTAAATTAAAATTAAAAAACTATTAAAACTATTTCACTTTGGAGTCCAAGTAGAAGAAACCAAAAATGGCACTTGTGCTCCTTCAAGGTACTAGAGATTAGAACACGAAACCGCACAGATCTGGAACAAAGGACCATTTTAGGAAGAGTTCTAACGTGAACTGGACACAGAGCCAACGGATTTTTGTATAAAACAAACCTTTGCTTTGGTGGCAGCTGAGGCCAGGGCAGCAGCTGCAGCTGTAGCTACGTTTCCTTCCGAGATTTCATGTTCCACTTTCTTCTTCCCAGCCTCGTTCTCTTTGTCTTTGCTGGCATCAACGTTCTCCTTGTTCTCTTCTGCCTCCTTTTCTTCTGGAAGAGATGGACCGCCCAGTCTGTTACGTGCGTTCTCCTCTCGCTAACGGCATCGCGTCAGGACAAGAACTGCACTACTTTGGCCAAGCAAATTAATTCATCCACGTGCCGTGACATTCCTACGTTACAGCTTTGTTACTCATCCCAATGCCAACAGGGGAACAATTCCAGTCTAAGGGGATCTGATCCAACAAACAGGGCAACTTTAAATGCTGTTAGTTTTCATCTTCTGCCATCACCTTACTCTCATCAGAACAACTTCAGCTGCGTTTCCAAATCAACTCCCTTATCACATCAAATCCAAATGCTTCTTGTTCTACCTGGTGCTAAAACACTGAATGAAAGCTCCAGGAAAAAACAAGATATCCATGTGGTACAAGGGAAATACAAAAACAAGAATAATGTCTCATGTAGAAAAAACCCTCAGCACTCCTTAGTCTGTCAAAATAAAGGGTCTGCATCGCTTCACGGGGAAACCGCGCTCAGGTATTAACTTCTACCCTTAGAGTGAGCAGCCCCATTTCTTTGCATCAAGAATAATCAAATGGTGCACCATACAGGCAAAAGAAAATCATTTATATGACCTACACGTGCTTTGCTACAGCGATTTCCTCACCCAGCCGCTACACGTGGTGACGGAGCGCTCAGCTGAGGTCTGCAACGAGTTCCAGACAGAATTTAGTGCCTGAGCTTCGCTGTGAAATTAAACTAGAATGTTTCCTACTGAACCATGAAGCAGCCTGATGTGCAAGAGGAAATATTTCTGCCACAGCTGAGTTTATAGCCTATTCCAACCACTTCAGAGGAAGGCTGTTAAAGCTAAACCAGCTTGAGGAACAGCTGGAACCGTTACCTGGCTTGGCGTCCGCAGTCGCTTCACTATCTTGCTCTTTTTCTGGATTTCTCTCATTTTCTCCGTCTTGTACTTTATCACCTTCCTCGATTTCACTCTCTGCTTTGTTTTCAACCTAAATGGGACGAAAGATTGTTAGAAGAATGAGAGCTATAGAAGACACTCACCATTTACTTCGTTTAGAGCTTTCAAATTACTTCACTATCAGAAAGGAAAAGATTAAATTTTCAAGGCTGACCACTACTTAAACCTATTTTGACAGTCGCAACCGAAATGGGAATAAACAAATTAACTGCTACACCGGACAAAGTCTGTCAGATCCAGCAACTCAGGCCCACCTGTGTTCACCTGAAGGCACAAGAAATCCTCAACTAAGATGACAGGCAAGAACATGCCCTCCGTGTTGTCCCATTTATTCTAGTAGTTCATGCCTACGTTTTATATCCTTTCCAGTGTCTGCCAGGTTAACAATTTATACAGCATTCACCCGTCCAACACAGCTCCAAAACCCACAGAACTCGTGGTCACAACAGTACCCTCTGGCAATAAATGCTACAACTGAATTACGTGTTATGGGACGGTGCTTCTGTCCTGAACTGGTGGAAAATAGAAGTAAAATTTAAAAAAAATATTTGTTAAAATCTAGGTGCCTCAACATAATGTCAATGAAAGCAGCAGCAGCTTCATGCTCAACACTGGAAGCATCATTTTCCCCTTCGAAATACTCCAAACTGAGCTGTTTCTCACTTATTCTGCTCCACAGCATAATGCATCTTTTCAAGCTCTGACCAAGAAGTGTCCTACACGCACATCTACCCAAGTGTACCTGACTGACTATCAGAAAGGCAGCAAAAGAATTACCTGAAAACACAGTGAGAAGTAACACCAAGGCTACACACTGCAGCCATTAGGTTAGTCTTACCTCATTTATTGACAAAGCAGGCAACACAGAAACATCACAGAATCCCAGAATGGTTTGGGTTGGAACGGACCTCAAAGACCATCCAGTTCA